TTTCTAATACAGTTTGTGTATAGTCTTCTCTCAATTACTATTTCCTAAACTCTAAAAGCTCTCCCAGGCACTGGCTATTTATCTGAATTACTTCATGGAACGTGGTACTCCACAATCCAGCCTTTTTAAACTCCATTGTCTGTAAAACGGGCTTCTGATTGGTTGCACATACTTTTTCACATCTTCCTTTAACCGGTAAGCACTCTGGAATTCTAAAGTTACTTTGCTGAGGACAGATTTCTGGAAAGCTAGATGCATGGATTTAAAATAGCTTCCTACCTACTCCAAAACAATATTTACAAATAACTCATATTTATGAATATTCATGTCCTGAAACTTGCTCTCAGTCTGGTCTTGCTCGTAAGTCTGAGATTCTTCCATTTTTAGATTAAGGAGACCCTACCATTTATTCCTACAGATACTTAATCCTTGTCATGCTTTTTATGAAGTACTAGGTTATTTTAATTAGAGATTTTTCCATATCTTCAGCTGAAAATTCCACAGTTATCTGAACAGAAAGCCCATTTCTCTTTAGAAGGATTTGAGACACAAGTAATTTCAGACTCCTTTGCTGGTGGATTTCCTACTGAAAGTCTTTTGACTCAGTCTAAAACAAAGTCAAACCTGTTTCCTAGTAAAGGAACTTTAACTGTGGTTTGAAGATTTGGGGGCATTAATATAAATCAAGCTTGTCTGGGTGAAGAGAAATCATAAGCTTCATAGGTCATGTTTAATCTCTACCTTATGCAGTAAGGATTGCCACACAAAGAGGGGGGTGAGTTTTTTTGCTGGTCATCAGTTCTTTGTTGAGATCTGATCATCTGGCAAGCACAGTTGTCTTCAATACTGGTAGGAGTTTCAGTGGTGCAACTGAAGAAATGGTCACACAGGATAAAGCCAAACATTTTTCAAGGTCAATTTTTAACTTTTTTTATTCAAGGCTTTTTTTTTTTTTTTCTGTTGTATTTTTTTGGTTGTTTGTTTTTTGTTTTTTGGGTTTTTTTTTGTAAATCATAAATTACTGGAAGTGAGAATAAAAAGTACAGCAAGGCTGTGGTGAAACTTCTCATGAAACTCCTTAGCCTTTTGGCAGTATTGCTTAGGTAGGTCATACATTTATAAATATGATCAGAAGGCCTGATTCCTCACTGTCTCAACCTTAGTGTAGCTACTAGGTCTGCTGAGGGTGGTGCTTGCTGAAACAGGATGAGGATTTACAAGGGTGAATGAGAGCACTGGGTATAACTCAGTCACTCAGGGATAAGGAGATCTCACTAAAGAACACAGGGTTTTTTTCCAAAGGAGAGTAAAAATTGGAAAGCTCTCAAATTTTAGATCACCCCTTTGATCTTGCAAGTATACATGAATTCTTGTGCCTCAAGGTCCTTCTCAGTGGGATTGGTCACTCCAGTAGAAGATGATGGTTAGGGAAAGCTCCAGAGGACAGACTTTTCCCCAAAAAGAGAATGCTCTGTAAAAAACTGGATGGGAAACCTAGTTGGGCAGATGACAGGAGCATCAATCAGGATATACTGGGTGGGTTTTAACCTGCATTAATATAAATGTTATACAGTGTAATGTACTATATAAATATTTTATAGTGTAACAGTACGTGGAGTTCATATTCTTGAAAATACATGCTAGAAAATATATGCATCTTTTGGAAGTATCTGAGGACTGAAATATCACTGAAATTTTCTTGTGCAAAATCACAGAATATAGGGCCAAGAAAAAGGGAAAAACAATTCTAGAATTGCATCAGAAAGGGTATTTCCACTGAAATAAGGCAGAATTAATGTTACTATGTAAATAGTGTCTAGAATACTGCTGACAGTTTTGGATATGCACTTGCAGAAAAGGTAAAACCAAGCTATGATATTAATAAAACCCCTCTTACCAACTGTTTTGCTATACAAGAAAAAATCAGAGATTTGGTTTACTTAGCATAATAAATAGGAGTACATAGAATATGAGAAGATCATCAGAAGGAAGGATTGTGTAAATCTAAGGACAAGGTTTATGGAAAACGAGACAGTAAATACTGCTAAAGAATTCATTTGGATTGGAGAGGAAAAGGCTTTTAAGCATCAGAGTCTTCCAAGATCTGTGTAGAAGGAAAGTAACTCAATCACATTTTCATATACTGAAAACACATTTCATGAAGTTGATTTAATGAAAATAGGTGTCATAAGCTAAAAACAGTTTTTGAAAGATTTTGAATGATTTAGCTGCCTGTTGCAATAAAGAGTGAATTTGCTGACCTAGAGATCCTTGTTCTTTTCTCTTAGTTGTAGTGTGTGAAGGGAGATTTTTAATTTTTTTAATGTACTGGAAGCCTTTGGTACTACTGAGGGTAAGCTTTCTCCTGATTTTGGATTCTTTCTGAATAATTTCTTTTTTTATTTCCTTTGAGAATCCAAAATAAGTTGTAGTCACTTTTTCTCAAGCCAGAAAGTTGGAGGTTTCTTTTTTTTTTTTACTAATGTTACGCCATGCATGTGGTTGAATTATTCAGAATTTAGATAAATTAGTTAGTATTCAAAGGATGACAACATTATCATGCTTTTTCATCAGGTATAAAACAGTTAAGACAGTGCATTGAATAGTGAGTGCTGTGTCTATATAGATCTGAGATTCAGACTTAGTTGGCTCTGATTTAATCCAGTAAATCTTTTACTTAGTAAGAATGTAGTTTGAGAACACATGGTATCTTTCAATTAAAACTTAAAACCAATACCAAAAATTATTTTTTAATAGTGCTTTTAAAATTAAAAAAGCACAGAAGCAAGTACCTCAGCAAAAACCTTTGTAAGATATTGCTTCTGCAACCTTGTAGTCACTGCCTCTCAGTGATGACACATTTAACTGCTTTAATTTATTATGCTTCTGTTTTCAGCCCTGCATACTTGCAAATCAAAACATCCAGGTCAAGGCTTCTTTTGTAGCCACACAAGATTTTTAAATGATGGCCTGGATTTTTATCCTTCCTTTTTTCAAAGTCTGTCTTTCTGTCAAGTGATTTTAGGACTAGCATGATTATTAATGGCTTTCTAGATAGAAAAACATAGTTTACCCAGCCTTTGAAGTTCTACCTTAGGTACATACAAGAGCCTAAGGTAAGTGAATCACAGTACATCCCTTATTACCACACATTGATACCGTATTATTTAGTTGATGATACACTTTTAAGAGGCTGTGGGCTCACTTTTGTGATAATACTAATTTGTTAAATCTTTTTCTTGAAGAAGTCTCAGTCAGTGATAGATATGTGAGAGTGCTTGAGGCAACTGGCAAGATACTGTTGAAATAACACTGAGATATCCCAGGTTGCACATCTGTGTCCAGATGGCTTTTGAATTTCTCCAAGACAGGAGACTCCACAGCCTCTCTGGGCACCCTGCTGCAGTGCTCTGTCACTCACAAAGTAAAGACATTTTTCCTTATATTCAGTTGGAGCTTCCTGTGATCCATGTTGCCCATCCACTGCCCCTTGTTTTATTGCTAGGCACCACGGAAGGATCTGTCATCATCTTTTCATCCACTAATGTTCACTCCTAATCCATTTCTGAGGGCAGTCATTACATCTTGACAATAAAAATCTGAATTCTTAACAGTAATAAAATACTGAAACATATCTTCCAGCAGGGTAGATGAAAGAATAAGGCTAAATTTTGAAAACTGCAGTGTAGGCAACTTTAGTCTTTCAGCTTATAATTAGAAAAAAAACTTTTTGCTTTAGAAATAGCAAAGGGTTAGATATAATTAAAAAGGTTATTAAAAGCATGAATATCCACTGTGAAACCTTGATCCAAGTTTTTTTTGTCTTCATCTCTCGAACAGAGGCCCCAGCATTGTGGTTTCCCTTGCCATGCACACTTATTAAATATTAGTTCAGGGTTAGTCATTTCCTTAATTCGCAGATGGTAGAACACACCAAAGGAGACAAAAATAGAGTTCAGATCTTTCCATCTTACAGGTGTAAGGTTTAGTAATCGTGACTTTCATTTCTAATAACTAAATTTTACTTGTGGTGCTTCTAACACCAAACACCAACTTAGGGTTGAATTTGCTAGAAATTTCACAGCCTTAATACAAGAAACTCTGAAATTCTTTCCCTGTTGCTGCGAGAAGGAAAATCCTAGACCAAGTTCCACTTTCACAGAAAAAGAAACACTTCTTCCTGATCCTAAACAGACCTGTCAGGTCATTGCATCCTGAAAGAGATTTTCTCCCTGCTGATAAGAAGATCAGAGTAATTTTTAATATAACGGCCAAACCTAGATATGGGCGATAGGGACAAAAAAGCAGTTGGTTCCATTCTTGCTGCCCAAAAACATGTGAGCATTTTTAACAACACAGTGTTTATGCTGAAATTTTGTTACACACCTCCTGTTATTTTGTGGTCTTTACAAAAGTCTTAAGTTAGTTAATGTGGCTGCCTGACATCCTCAGTCTCAATCCACTCTTAATCTGATTTTTTGGTCATTTTTAAGTAAGATTTGACTATTTCTGATACCTTGAAAAGATGGAAAAGTGATGTACTTTTCACACTAGTGTTTGAAGAAATATGTGTGCGATATTGATATTATTTTGCAATTCTAATAGAATTTTAAATCTTCACTAATGAATTTTAAAGACTGAAATTGGATTAGCTCTATTTGATGTTTCCAAAGGTACAAGTAAGAGTTTAAGCAATTTTCTAGATATTTTCAAATGACAGTATTCATGCTGAGACTGCTGTTAAAAACATACTCAAAATATATTCTTCCATAAAGAACTTTTGCCTTCAATAATGAATGGAAACATTTTCTCCCATTTAATGTGATTTCTTTGTGTCTTCACAATGCAGAAAAATTGGATAAAATTATTTTTTTATTTCAACTAATTTGAAAATGTAATTGCAGAAGTTTCATTGATTTTCCATTTCAAGTAAATCTACTGAAATAGTTTATTTTAAGTACATCAAATAAAAGGGCTGATTCTGATTTTTCTTATTTTAGATTATTATGTCATGCAATGAAAGACCATATAGTGCGTGTTGCAAATGAAGCAGAATTTATTTTAAACCGACAAAGAGCTGAAGATGTCCACAAGCACGCTGAGTTTGAGGTAAGCCTGAGAGCTGGTGCATTTCTGGTTCTCTGTTTTCACTCAGTTGACGCCTAGACTATAACTCCATGCAATAAAGATTTTATTTTTTTTCTTCAGGGGAAGAAATTTACATTGAAAACATTTCAAAACTGGTTTTTAAAAGCTTTGGTAAATGTCAAGCACCAGGAATGGGTTTAATTTCTCATCTTGTCACTGAAATTCATAAAAGCATTTACAGCTTGAAGAAATGCCTTAATCAGAAAGTCTAATCTGATACGGTAGACCCTTTGGTTCACAAAGAACTTTTCTGATTTATTGAAAATAGTAATACAAAACATCTTATTAATATATTTGTTGATTATTTACAAAAGTTTGTATGAGTTCATTAAAAAGGCAAAGCAATTGTACATTTAAGATACATCACAAAAAATAAGAGATAGAAATGTTTTGTTGAACAGAATTAATATTTTAAGGTAGTTCTCTTCAAACAGTTTGAATTTTGGAGCACTTTAGAACACTTTTTATAAAGTGAAATACGATACTGCATATCTTTCTTGGTAGTTAGGAATCATTAACTATCAACAATAAGATTCAGTATTGGAAGATGTAACAGAGCAGTTGACTCATAGAACTCTTCACTATCTATATTTCTGATTCTGAAAAGGAGTCAGCATTCAATTTCTTTTTCATCAGTGAGTGGTCAGGATATAATTTAAATTGCATTGCTTGAAAGTGATCCAAATGTTAAATCCCCTGTTTTTTAAATGTCTTCAGTTCAATAGGTTTTCTATTGTTTATATAGGAATAATTTTGTTCCTATTAAAAAAGAAAAGCATGCAAAAGCAATGGAGTAAATTTAAAACTTCATTTTTTATATGACTTCATCAAATATGGGTTTACAGTTTTATGATGTTTCATACATTTCATTGTTTTTATTGTTTCCTAACCTGACTTGTGTTTGCACACATTTGTGTAGAAGTAGGTATGTATATATATAGTCATGTATTTCACATCTTTTACTGCTCAAGGGACCTAGCATTAGGATTGTGATAGACAGCCTTAGTATTGATGATAATAAATAACTATATCAATTTATTAATCTGTCAGAAAATGTCAACAAGCACCTGGTGGCTAGAAATAAGACCCAGTAATCTTAGTTTTGATGAGGTTTTTATCTCCTTGGAACAACTCTTTTAAATGTGTGCTTTGATGTACCAGTTTTTGTGCTCCTTGACCTAGCTGAGAACTGTGAGACACAGAGATATCTGTTGTCATTTTGAATACACATAACCTTTACTTCATTTTGTCAGAGCAGACAGCAGACACTTGTCATATGGGATTCCAACAACTTTATTACCAAGCTTATACTGGATATTTTGAACGTAGATAAAATCGCTTTTACAATTAAGTGTATGTCAGAGTGAAGTTTTATATTGCCTCAACAATAAATAACATTTGATATCTATCAGAGCATCATGCAGTAACCTAAGATGACAATGGAAGATTGAGTTATCTGTTCTTTGAAGAATACATTGAGGTATAAGATCTGTCGGAACTCTAGACAAAATGAGAATATTCAATTAACTTCCAGCTTCTGTTAGCAAATAGGATTTAGAATATTAACTAAATTCCCTAAAGGAGTAGCCTCAAGTCTGTCTTATTGTCTGGTAAAGAAACCAACACATTTTTCATATATGAAAATTCTCATTACATTTGTTGTAGGAAAGAACCAAAGTACACATTTTAGGCGACTAGGTTAAAATCTGCGAATCATAAAAGAAAAATGTAAAATGTAGACTTTTAATGTGAAATTCATAAGTACTTAAATAAGGTGATGGTTAAAGTCTGAAAGAATGCTTTATATATTGTCTTTAATAATGGTGGGAATATAACTGAATATTTTATTTTTTATCCTACTTGAAAGCAGTAGGGACAAAGAGATTTCTGGTAGTTTTCTGCTACATGATTGTATATCTGTCATTTTGTTTTAATAAACTGTAGAGGTATATGTTCTGGGGTTTAGTACATGTTAATCATTGCTCTCATCTAGAGAAGTGCATGACTATTTTATTTTATTTCTGCCCTTTAAACTTTAATTGAATCATTATGGGTAAAATTATTTGTTCCAAGCTGCACCAAGTTACTGTGTCTCCCACATAGGCCATGGACCAGCATGAATTTTATTCTGTGACCCCAGCTGTAGTCACAGCCAAAAGAATTCCTCCCAGAATGGGTACTTCACAGTTAACTTTCATTTTGTTAACCTTTGTAATTGTTCAGGAAGAAAAATGAAAATTTAATTTTACTGTCCAATGAGCTGGTGAAATATTAACCTCATTACTAAGGCAGATCATTGTACTAATTGGTGCCTCCCTGTACAAGAAGATAAATTGGAAAATGAATTAACCCTTTATGAATTAGTGTAACCATTGTTCCTTCCCGGATAGATTACTTGAAATGATGTCTGTAAACACAATAGAAAGATGACTGTTAAAATCTTACTGAATGCTAATGTGATCTGTACTAAAAAGGCAGCATGCAGAAATATTAAGAATAAAATATAAAGTATGAGGTTAACTTAATTTTAATTGCTCTTTTCAATACTAGAAAATTGGTTTCTATTCAATGCTATTACAGCACTGAGTGTTGGCTAAGTGTTCTAAAATGGTGCGCAAAAACTGTAAGTGCAAAAAACATGTCATAAAAGATACTTTCTGAATTAGCTATTCTGAGAATATTCTACCCTTTGTGATTTATACCTAGATAATTATACTTTTACTGGATTTTATTTGATTTCTCTGGCTTCATTCCCTTTCTTTAGACATTTTGAAAGAATTTTTACAAGGAGGAGAAATTGAGTTTGAACTTAGCATGATTTTGAGTAAAGAAATGGAAAAATATTGCCCTTACTCATAAAGAAAGGATTTATGAAAAGAAAAATGCACTATAGAATTCTAGCAGTTTATAAAAAAATTCATGTGAAGCTCAAGAATCACAGCATTTATTTTTGAGGTAGTTTTCTCACATGATGGAGATATTAGATCTTTTTCAGCTTATAAGATGAGTGATTTTTTTATCCAGTAGGGTTTCTAGAATTGGTAGTATGTTATCAAAATTTTGAGTGTCGTGCCATGAAATAGAAAATATACTCTTTAATCTTTTAGTTTAGCATTTGTAGTAATAAAATAATGTTGTTTTTTTTTTAATTTTATGTGTTAATATAATTTAAAAATCAAAAACAGCATACATAATTTTTTCTTGTATATTGTCCTATGTATGTTAGAGGTGTATTTTATACACCTGAGAATACATGAAACATTTACAAAGGAAAGGCTAACTTTTAAGGCATCTCCATGGCCATGAATATTCACATACCCAGATGTATGGCTTAATGTTTTTAATTGCAATTCTGTTGTCTTTGGCCTTGGTGTTTCAGTTTTTACATGTTCTAAATGAGTGCTTTTTCATGGATAATATATAGTAGTAGAATATTTCAATTGAATGGTGTCATGATTTAGTACTACAGAAAGATTCGGTGTCCTCACCTAGACTCTCCTAAAGCAGACACTGTTTAATCACTTCCCCACCCCTTCCATGGTTGTGTTGAGAACTGGAGGCACAGGAGGTGAAAATCAGGACTTGAGATTAGAGCAATTTACTGGAAGCAGCAATGAGATAAGAAAGAGAACAGTAACAGCAACAATATTATTAACAAAAGGTATAAGACAAAGAAATGGTTTACCCAGTAAGTAAAACAATACTGGACCTTTTCACCTACTACACCTTTTTCCCAGACCAGAGAGAGAATTTCCCTGACTCCTGCCCCTGGCAAGTGACATGAGATGATATCAAATAACACTAGGGTTTGGACATGCTTCCCTCCTAGCTACTGTAAAAAATTAACCCTGTCCTGGAAGAAACTAGGAAAAATGGCACGTCCTGTTCTTCTGAAAAGTATTTTAATGAGTTCTTTTCATCTTCAGAATTTAATAAATAATAATTTTAGGGCACTCATAAGTAGCCTGTCTTTAATGAAGCGGGTGTTCTTTCATTCCCAGTCGCAGTGCGCTCAGTATGCTGCTGACCGGAGAGAGGAGGAGAAGATGTGTGATCACCTCATCAGTGCTGCAAAGCATCGAGATCATGTCACGGCCAACCAGCTGAAACAGAAGATACTCAACATACTGACGAATAAACATGGGGCCTGGGGAGCTGTTTCTCACAGGTAAGGTGCAAATGTAGAAAGTGTAGGGCTTTAATGGTTACTTGCAAAGTTTGAGAGAAGCAGGCATTGTGTAACTGAAATACGATTTCATTATGGGGGTTAAATGTACGTACATGTAGTATATGCAAAGTTGAACAAAGTGCAGCTTAATTGTGTGGGTATTTCTGTTAAAAAATTAATTTAAAAAATCTAAAATATATAATTTCTTAAGTATGTAACTGATACAGTATTTGAGGTTTTATTCAGAGCTGTATTGAGTCCTGATTTGAAAAATGTTCATTCTATTCAACATAGCAGTGAAATTAAATGTTTTCATACATCATGCCAAAAAGAAGAGCTTTGCTCTTCTGAGTCACAAAAATAGCCAGTGGCTAAAGTGCTGACCCTCATGTGGAAGGCTCGAGCTGAAATTGCTCCTTTCCTTCATCCAGAGCAAGGTCTTGAACCTGGGCCTGTCATGTGAGTGCCCTGTCTGAAAGTAGAGTCTGCAAAGTCTCTTTCTTGTTTGTGCATTCTAGCCACAAATACTTGATTATTTACTCAGAGCGGAACGACTCAAACAAAAGAAATCAAGGAAGTCCTCCTCCCAGATAACCAAAATTTTACAGCTTGATTTTCTGTTTAAATTCCTATTTGTCTGCTCTGAATCACGCAGAGAAGAACAGAAAGTTCCATTTTACTTCTGAGAAAGCTTTTCAGGAAAAACACAGTTTAAATGGATAATACAAAAACTTTTTCCTAGATAAATATTCTTTAAGAAAATATATTTTCTTTTATATTGACTATATAGTTAGGGTTTAAGCCAATTAGAGAAGCTGCCAAGTAATAAATTTGACATGTCAGCAATAAGGTTTAATATAAATAGCACATATTCTGTCCATTCTTTTTGTAATTATGTCTAGTTGGTTCTTGCAGTTATGTTTAAAACAAAAATGAAATTTTTCATGTTCATTATCCCTGTTTCTTCCAAAGAAATTACTTTCTCCTGGATGATTATGGAGATGTATTTATTTTATAAGATGGTAAAAAATTGTGGAAATTCTCTCTTACAGAAACTCTGTTGTTTGACACCAGAGACGTTCTGGTGGAAATGACAAAAATGACAAGTAGAAAATTGTCATATGGTTAATTCAAGACAGTCTTAGTCCATTAGGGATGCTCATGTTATCTCTAGCTGAGGCATAAAACTGTGTGTCTGGACACTTGAACATACTGAAAATAAAGGCAATTTTCACTCCTCTTAATGTCTTTGAACAATGAATAACAATTTCGAATAATATTTTTTCTCAGCTTTGTCAATGGCTGCACTTTGCAGACTTAAATCAGTTCCTGGTGACTACCTTTTCCAGGAGGCTGTGTCTTCTTAGGGCCAAATAAATTTTATCTCCTGGATTGTTGATGGCATCCTAAATGGGAACAGTCCATTACTGCATCTTTTTTTCTCTCGGGTCCATGGTCGTTTCTGATGAGCCGTAAAGTAGTACATAAAGTGTCTGTGGCAAACCTATGGAATTTCTTACTCTGAATGAAGGAATTCTTATTTCATCCCTGTAATACAGCTTGTCCAGTGTTGTCTGCTTCTCAATTGCCAGCAGAGCTGCTTTCCCCTTTTGGCACTTGCAGTGCTTGGTGCAGTGTTTGACTTGGCTGTGTTTTAGCCACAGGCAGTGGCTTAAACTGGAGAAGAGGGACATGGTGACAATACAAGATCGCCAAGTAGGGTCCCCCATTTGCAGGAGCAAAACAGAAAAAAAAGTTGGGAAATGGCCTTGCACTGTAAGTTTGGCTGTGTGTGCCATGGTAGCTTTGTGATCCAGCACACCAAGTGCACCTTCTGTCATGGGACTAGTGGACTATGAATGGAAAGGACTGGAATGGCATCAGGGAGACAGAGATGCTCCATGGAAGAGCCTCTGAGCCTTGTTAGGGACCAGTGTCACTCAGTGGGCAGGTCTAGAAGGCTTTAATGACAGAAAATGCAGAGGTGTCTCATTAAACTCCTCAGCCACAGAATGCAAAAACTGTTGTTAATTAAATATTCCAATACTTTTTATATGATGGAAATGACATGGCTTCCAAAACCATGCACATCTCTAGTCTTGGCTGGCACAAAACACAACAGGACTCAAGTCTCCGTTTTTAGTTCCTGACAAGGAGTTAGAGCATTAGCAGTCTCTTTATAAACTCATGCTTCTCTGTGCCATGAGACACACCCCCTCACTGGAATACATAGTTACTTTAAAAACACACTAAAACCACATCATCACTCTAGACTTCCACATTTCCATAGTGATTTTAAAATTTCAATTGGGAAAAGTGTTCCCAGTTCTGAAGACACACTGCTGATCTCCTGTTCAGCTTGAGAGCTGGAGACCCTTCACTGAAGTGGTGAATTTAGGGAGATCCTTCTCTGGGTCAGATGGAGCAAGGCAGGAAATAGGCCATCACTTCTGCACAATAAATTCTTGTGTAATAGCAATGCCTTTTGACATCCAAAATGGATAAGATAGGTGGGAAAATATTTGGGCAGACATAAGTGTGCTATCTGCGCAGTGGCAGCTACCAATTTACTGCTAATTGCAGCAGCATAAAGTACAAATATAGAATCACAGGATCATTTCAATCAAAAAGAACCTCTAAGATCATTGGGTCCAATCATTAACATAACTCTGCCAAATCCACCAGTAAATGATGTCCCTAAATGCCATATCCACATGTCTTTTAAACAGCCCCAGGGATGGCAACACACCCACCCACAACCACCTCCCTGGGCAATTTGTTCCAATGTTTCACAGCCCTTTTGGTGATTAAATTTTTCCAATATTGAAACTAAACCTCTCCTGGCCTAGCTTGAGTCCATGTCCTACTGCCCTATCTTGTCCTGTATGTTTTTGTTTATCTCTTCTCCAGATAAACAATTTTCAAGTTCTTTAACAAAGATGCTCACATTACAAAATATTATGGCTTAATTTCATCAAATATGGCCAGCCCAACTGTAGAGAAAATTATTCCTTGTGTTTGCAGTTCAACACAATGAGCTTCTAAGCCTCCCCAGCTTTTGTGTCTTTGCAGAAAGCAGCAACCAGCATTTACTATTTAATCTGTAGGTGCCACAAAGCTTACCCTTTGTTCATTAAGAAACAAAGAGACTATTAAGAACCACAGAAGGTTAGTACTGAGAGGAAAAGCAAGAGGTCTGATGTTTTGCTGTATTCTACATTCCACACTATTTGTAAATTATGAATTTTAAATATATTATCATAAAATCTTCCCAAAATGTCTGAAGAAACAAGAATGAAGTTGAATGGTATGAGCCAACAAAATACCATATGAGACTTTGAATTCTAAGTTAGGTTCTAGTTATATATGAACAGCTTAACTAAAAATATCATAAATTAATTGGTGACTTGCATTTGAATTGCTTCCTAATTAGCTATTAATTTATGAAGGTGAAATTAATTATAGGCTAGTACTCCACAACTTGAATAAATGCCTACAAACACAGTAACTGTACAACAAATTCTTGTCTGTATGTTAATTAATCAGTAGTTTGAATGGTCTGAGAATCTCTTTACTCTTTCATCTCCTTCTGATTAAAACTGGTAAATAATAATTTGAGAAAAAACTTTAATTTTTATTGCTTGTCAGTGTTAGCTTCTTTCCTTCTTCACAAATGTTTTCCCTTAATATCTTAAAGAAAAACCCAAAGTTCTTTTTCTCAGTTTCTTCCAAGTGTGAGCATCAAATCCTCTATGACAAATGGAAATTTACTGAATCATCTTATTTTCATCTACATATATCAGATAAAGCATAATAGATTTCAAAATAAATCCCATTAGTTTGCTATAAATCCTGTTTGTGCCCTTCAACAAAACTAATTCTGCTTCCTGCATTTGGACAATTAGATAGTTTTATGTATCTTTGTAATAGCTTACCCTAAACATACTTGTTTTTTTTCCCCTTTTTTAATTTCAGCATTATACCAAAATTAAAATTTTGCAGATTTTTCCCATTGAGATGAGAAATTGATGAGCTGGTTATTTCCTTGATGCATTGTCACTTGTTCAGAGGGAATCTGCAACATCAGGAAGAATCAAACAGGGTGTTTCATAGCTTAGTGTTCCAAGCTTCTTCAAGCCAGCACTTACCCTCAGCTTTTTTCAGGGTTATAGTTTTTGTGTCACAACATATGCTTCCTTCTGCCTTCTCTGTCAGCTTCATATGGTGCTTCTCTTCCTCCCCATCTGTGTCTCTCCCCATACACATCTCTTTAAAAAAAAAAAAAAAAAAGTTTTGTAAAACTTGTCTGTACACACAGTTCAGATTCCTTATCAACCATATGCATGCCTGTGTTTTGGCCCATAAGCTGTTACTGTCTTACTTCAACTCCTTGGTTTTATCAGATACCTCAACTTTTCAAAATCTTTTATTCAAGAACACTGAATACATACATACATATATATATATATATATATATGTGCGCCTTACAGTTTGTATAGTTTTAAAGCAATTTAGAGAAATAAAAGGAGTTCAGAGTTCCAATTAGCCTTCAAAATCCAAATATTAAATACTTGTCATAGATATTTTCATATGATCAGTTTTGATATTCACAGAAGGACTACTATAATGAGAAAAATGACATTTAAAAATGAGACTTGGTTCTCTTGCTTTCTGTGATTTAATGAAGGAGGTTCCACCTACATTAAAGCAGCTGTACCAAATAGAAAGTATACAAGGGCTTTTTCTGTTCAAATCCATCTTTGGTTAAACTAGACACCCATAACAAATTAATCATTCATGGTGGAGGGCAGAGCTGTCAAACTCATTCTGTGGTGAAGACCAAATTCGTCTGGGGAGACAGGCTGGAAATGAAAAGTTTCTTGCCAGACAGCTAGTTTTGTCTCTCCCTGCAGTGTGTGCTTCTGAAGAGATTGGGTTCTGCTGGGGGCCAGAGGGATGAGAACCAAAAGAGAACTCCTTTTCCCAAGCCTATGGGGGTT